CAAAGTCTGGGTTTGCATCCTTTTTTTCTTTTAAGAGTTTCAAAACAATAAAACCCATCCCAAAAATCACGGATTGCAGATCCAAAAAACCGTCAAGAACTGCCCTTTAATGGGAGGCAAAGAATAAAGCCCCACATGTTTTTTGCAGACACCCCCCCACCAAGAAAATTTTAATAAAAATAAAAACTTTACACAGAGAGATAACAAATAAATAGAAAAGACCCTTCCCTTCAGCAAAGAAGCAAGCACTGACACAACAACAACAAAAGATAAAGCTTTTTTATGGGAAAGTGATCTGAGTAGTAAAGAAAAGAAAGGGTTGAATATATAAGGGGGGGAAGGAAAGGAAAGGAAAGGAAAAATTAATGGGAGGATTGGGAAGAGAGTGGATAGTGAAATGGTGGATGGGAAGTGGTTACTGGTTACTGAGGGGAAGAGAGAAAGATTATTTAATAGTAGAAAGAGTTGTTTTTTGTTTTCCACGCGTTATATTAAATGGAAAATATATTGAAATCAATGAAAGCCAGTTTTCTTTTGCTTCCTTGTGTGTTTCCTTGGTGAGTCTTTGTCTTAACAACAGTGATTTCTATTGTTTCTCCCCTCTTTCTTGTCTCTGTCTTTGGTTTTTTTTCTCTTCCTAGGTGAGTGTTAGAAGGTTTGAGAAAGACTATTCACTCTGCATAATACATGGATCATGAGATCCTTAACATGATGAGGAAAATATTGAATGATTGTTGAGGAAGAACTGATTTAGTTGTAAATTTTGATTAGTAAATGATTATGAATTCAAATCTACAATCTCCATTTTCATAAATTTTAGTTGTAAAATTATAAATGAAGAATGATTGCACTAGTATATTTGTTTGTTCTTGTAGTTGGTTATTAGAGAAAGAAGAAAAGTCATGGTGTCCTTTCAATCATTTAATTTGAAAAGGCCATAAGACTATAGAAACACGATGGTAAAGCAAACAAAAATAATAGGAAATTTGGTTTTTTTTTCTTGTTGACAAGATATAATAATCTAAATAATATCCCACATACTTTATATATTTGAAAAAAATTTTAATTAACCTACTTTTTTTCTTCCTAAATGAAAGTGAAATTTGCTTCATTTGATTTAATTGAACTTTGGAATAAATTAATTAAAAATGAACTATCTTATGTTTCTCTCAGAGAACGACTTATCATATCTAAATTAATGAGTTTATATTTGATGTATTTATTAGTACATAAATTTTATATATTATCAATAAATTAAATATTATTATATTATTAATAAATTAGTTAAAAATAAAAAAATTAAAAATAAATACTTATAATTAAATTTCTGTCTTAAATTTTTTAGTCAAAAATTAAAAAAAAAATTCCACCCAAATCTACCTACTTAGTTACTATCTTACGCGGTGATTAATTAATTTTAATTAAATCAGAGGATCGATTAGATTCTTGTCCCCACGTAAGAACGTTGACTTTTTTTCAATGATCTCAACACCGACATCTAGGTTTTCGAGTCAGTCAAGCAACAATCAGCTGCCACGTCTTTATTTGATTGATTTTTTTTTCCTTGACTTGCCTGATTTACCCCAAGAATGATTACGTGTCAAATTCCTATTTGCTGGAGCGATTATCGGTTCAATTCCTATTTGATTTTTTTTACATTATTTTTCTTTTTTCTCCTCATTTTGACAATTTCTTTGTTTGGGGGCCGACCTCAAAATCAACTGATTTTTATTTTAATTTATTTTGTGCGTAAATAGCATTGTAAATTTACGTTTCTTTTTATTGTAAATTGTCTATTTAAATTAATTCAAAATAAACCTATAGAAATATGATCGAATATAATAAAAAAATAAAAATTATTTTAATTTTTTTTAATTATTCAAAGATTTTTGAAAATATTATACTTTTTTTTTTGCTTATTTTGACGATTTCTTTATTTGGGACCGGCCTCAAGATCAACTTATTTTTATTTTATTTTATTGTATTAATATAGCATCATAAATTTACTCCTCTTTTATCTTAAATTGTCTATGTAAATTGAATTATATTCCTAATTTCAATTTGGAAAATTTTCAAATATAAATATGCTAAAGCTTAAATTATCAAAAAGGGAAATGAAGATAAAAATTTTCTCTTAATTAAGAGCTTAAATTCAGGGTGGGAATATTTTGGATTAAATTAGAATATTCCCTAAGTTGAATTTGAGAAGCAAGTATATATATATATATTATAATTAAAGTTATATGATTAAGAAGTCAATATTAAAAGAGGATTATAAGCTAAGAAAAGTGGAGCTTTTATTTCTACTAGTCAAAGTGGGGTACGTAATTAATATATTTGGAAAATGAGATTTACTTTATGGGACTCCAATTCTCACCTACTCTTAAAGCTTACATCAAAGAGAAACATTGGAAGATATGACTTTTAATTGGAAGCTTGAAAAGCATAACTACCCATCCAATTAACTCAATTCCTCAATCCTTCTTTTTTGACTATAACCTAAATGCTTGTTCTTCCTCGGCCAATTTTCCCACCATGGTCAACCAAATTTGTTGTTTTGTCAAATATGAAATTTAAAAAAATATTTAAAATTTTAACGTATTTAAAATAAGATTTATATTCGATGTATTATTCGTGCATCACGTGTCAGATTTAAACTCAACCCATACCACCTTAAACTTTGAAAATAAAATTTAAGTGAATTTATAAAATACAGGCTCGTATTATTAACTTAATATAGATATATATGATAAATAATGAAATATTCATGTTTAGATTCTCAAGATTTACCTCATTTCTTACTAATATGAGATTCGTGATAGTCTACCCTTATTTAATTGTGCAACGCTTTCGTTGCACTGGCTCTTTACTCATAAAAAAAAACTCTTATATTAATCTGAATCTAGCTCAATCTCTATATTTCTCACGAAAACCTAACATTGGTGAATATCTTGATCTATTCTGATACCATTTGTCACAAATTAAAATTTATGTTCAACCTTATACGACCTTAAGTTACATTTTCAAAACTTAAAATAGTACGAAATTAAGTTTAAGTTTCAACTTGTGATATCTATATATTATCAATGAACCCAATGTTTCTTCATTATTAATAAATAATTAAAAAACTTGAAACCATAAAATAAATACTCATGATTATCACTTTTATGACGTGAAATTTTACAATCTAGATCTTTTAATTTAGTGATATGAATAAAACTGCTACTTACGTAATAACTTTTAAAAAAATATAATCAATTTTTTAAAAATAATAATATAAATTTTTTAAAAAAATCCAAAAAAAGTTAGAAGTAAGAGCCATATTTTTTGACTAAAGCCGAATTGTTTTTTTGTTCTATTTTTTCACCCACAAACGTCTTAAAAAACCTTGTCGGTGGGCTGCAAAAAGGCTTGGAGCCCATTGAAAATTATGCTTAACAGTGGGTCCGAATCAATTTTGGAGTGTACAAAATACGAAACCAATAATAATGTGTTAGCCATGGACTTTTCAAGCCGTTTGTCCTTTGCTAATATATTAATTAATTAATTAATTAATTAATTAAATGTTCAATGAAGAAAGCTGAATAAAAGTCACAAGCTCTTGGTTTGCTTGTGAATTTGTTGGACTTTTTGGCAATGAGACTTGTGATAAAAAAGGAGGTGTGAAGTCGGTGAATTAGCCTTTCAATTTTTGACTTCCAAAATTTAATCATTGAATTCGTCTGGGTATTTTATATCTGTCTTTGATTGGATAGGGAAAATTAAAATTAAGATCTTTGCAACTTCTTCTGACGTCATATAATTTATTATAGTCTTCGATTTAATTATGATGTATCATATAAAATTAGACTTTTTTTCAAGATACATATGAAAAAAATTTTGAATTTTAAATTATTATTTTTTCGGTATTATGTTAAACGGACGTGTATAAAACACGACAAAATAGGTTATTCCATGTGCAAAGTTTATAGATGCTAGGGCTTTGACCCTTGGGAGATAATTACCTAATTTCAATCACCAAGCTAGAGGAATATGAATACAAAAAAATTCTTGTTCAATTGAAGAGACTAGACCAAGAGAAATGATAATATAGAAAAGGTAAATAAGGCATTCATGTGATGGAAATGTTTGCAGGTATTGGATATAAAAGATAAGTAGGGCAGGCAGGATAGGTTCTTGCACCTTCCATTGCTTCCCACATGTTTCATGGACCTTTTCCTTTATTTTTTTTTCAATTTATTATTCACCATTTTATGGATAAATTATACATAGATTGATCTTGTTAATCACCTCCGTTGATTATGTTTCTTTATATTTTAATTTACCCATTTTTTGTTTTTTTCATTAAGATACAATTAATGGATGAGCTTTAACAAGCTATATATTCCCTTTATATAGGGTACCTCTAGTACTAATATTTGTACCATATATATGAATGGACATGGATTAGAATCTTGGGGCCATTGCCATTGCCATTGGAGTACAAAATTATTTTTATTATTTTTTGGATAACTCCCCACATGGAGAGGCTAGTGTCGGTATAATTTTGATCAATATATTTTTGTATTTTTAAATTTATGATAATATTGTGAACGGGAAATCGTTAATTATGATGACGTGGTGATATATGAAATTAACACAAATTTTTCTCTCATAATTATTGATACGTGATTTTATTGAAATTTTAAAAATATTATAAAAAAAACTCCATATTATTTTTTTATTACTGTTGTTTTAGTATCTTTTTGTCATTAATTTGACATGTATTTAAAATATAAAAATTAAATTAATTAAAATTAAAGTAAAGGGACTAAGATAAACATTTCACTTTTGTATAGGGATTGCTTAGGTTAAGTAGGAAGAGGGAGTGATTGCCCAAATCGACAGATTGAAGAGGTGGGGTCATTAACAATAGTATCAATCTATTTGGAAGGAGCAAATCCAATAGTTTAATTACAAGTGCAGAATGAGACTTTGTGTTACTGTTCATATTAACTTATGAAGTATTATGCATTTTGACCTACCAACCTCATAGTTTTGTTTCACCAAAAGCATCTTCTTCTAGGTTGAAGATGATATAAACTCTTAAATGTCCAATCTCACTGTCATATGAGATTTATAGCTCTATTAATTGAAAGCATATAATTTCTTCGATGTAAGATTCACATGGCTCGCTTTGAGGCCTCGACACAGCCGAAAAAAAACTGCCTTTGAAGCAAATGGATTTCAGTATTTCATTGATTCACATGGTTTTTTCTGCTTTAGTATCCAGATACTTTGCCATTGTTCCATCATTCTTTTCAGGCTAATCTGACTTGCAAGGCTATGTCGTCGATAACCAAAGGGAATTTGGCCATAGTTGAGCCAACTTGAGGTAGCCATATGTGCCTTCTATCCAAAGTGGTATGAAAATGATAAAGGCAAGGAATACTTTAAACTTTCATCATTATTTTCAGGGTTTGTCTTCTTCTTTTACAGTGATTTGTATCACACTCAAAGCCTGATTGGTTTCCATTTGCTATATTTTCAATTGTGCCCATCTCCCCTTACAAAGCTCAGGAACAGAAGAGCATGGAACTCTGTTAAAACAAATAATGCACCTTTAAACATCAATAAACAGAAAAGAATGGATTCACATTTAAAAGGCATCTCTGAACATCATTTTCTCTGACATCTTTGAATATAATATGCTGAAATTTAACCAACACAAAAAAATATAGTACCAGTGCTTAATTTGTTTGTATATGTGCATGTCAGAATGGCAAGTGAAGGAGCACCAGAACATGCTCCCATACATGGGAGCAATGCACTATGGGATGGGGTTTCAGCATCTTACAACAAATTCAAATAGATGGACATTTAGACAAACTTCACAACAAAAATGTAGCACCATAATAAAACTGAACTGTGGTCTAATGTTACATTATGCCAATCTAGGATTGACAACAGGCTTGACTTATAACAGCGAAAGATGTGTGCTAACCTCAACGACGCTTGTATATACAAGGCTTCAGCTCTGGCCATTCAATTTCCTTCCCTTTTGAGCTTTGCTTTTCCTACAAATGAAAGTATAAACAGACATTAAGGAGCTAGAAACTTTGTCCTGCATGTCAGTGAGATTTAATAGGACACAAGAGCCATATCTTCTCTATAAAAGCAACGGACCTTTTTCTTGAAGTATAATAAAACAAACATCTTATTTGAGAAGTCCTGCACATAATGTGTATGAGTTAGCAAAGGATAAAGGGTTGCATTGATGTAAATAAAAGAAAATTATAACCTTCAATGCTGATGTAAATCCCATCTCACAAACAGCTTTTGAAAACTTATTTGGGTCCGCTCCTCCATTATTTGGATCAAATCTGCTCTTTACCTCTGCTATTAAAAGCCAACCACTACAAAGAACCACAATGAATTGGATTATTAACCAAAACCTCATCAACAAAGGGTAACAACTAGCATTAAATAATATTTAAGCTTAGCAAACCTTGGCTTAAGAACTCTATATGCTTCCTGAAGGTAACTAGCATAGTTAGTCCCCATCAATGAAAGGCAAAAGACAGCAACATCTACGGAGGATGGATCAAGTGGTATCTGCCAGCAAAACTCAAAAACAATTAATTACTACTTAAAAGCATCCAACATCCTGCACACTCACACATTTGCACAGATGCACACAGTTAGAGAGGCAGAGATTCTCAATTTTTCCTCTCGATCCATATATCAGGATGCACTCATTGTACAAAATGAAACCAAAAAACTGTTCCATTGGCTAGTTTATGTTTTCTTTTTTTAAAAAGGAAATAAAAGTCAGCATTTGCTAGCAAACACCATCCAAATGTTCCTGTTCAAAATTTGCAACTGATAGCAGCATGCAATAGTTTTCCTACAGCTGTTTTGTGACTGATGGTAAATTGCAGCATAGCTAGGGATGGATCAAAATTATGTAAAAGTGCTCAGTTATGACATATGGGAGTCACTCAACAAGTGTGATATAACAAGCTCATATAAGGGGTGAAGAGGAGACATACATTTGACATATCACAAACAATTACTGAAGGATCGTTTGACACAAGATCAAAAGAGAAAACTTTATTCTTCACATTTTTTGCAAGGCGTGCATCACCTGAAACACAATTGAGAAGGATGACAATGACAGAACAACCAAAATAAATATAACAGAAGTTGTTAAACGTTTATCATGAATGTGAGTTCAACATATTATCATTGCAATACAAAATGGCAAATCAAGTTCAGTAAATTCTCACCACAGCCAAAATCAGCAACAATTAAAGAAGAACTATGATCCTTCAACCATTTTATGATTACATTGACCGGCAGCTCAGGCCAATGCGACATTTGCTCCTGATATCCTGTATGGTACTGTCCAAGTGAGTGAAATAAATAAGTCCAATTGCAGCTTCAATATAAGACCAAACCACCTAAATAATCATGCTTCAGAACAATGGTTATCTGACGTTCATGAAAATCAAATGGCAACTAACAGAGACAGAAGCACTTTAGATACATCACCATGGTTACATAAAAAATATAATATAGTTGAACATTGATAAGGCAATGTACAAGCATAATAAAAATTCAAAGTAAACATCCTACTTGAAGATATCGGCCAAGCTGTCTAAGAAATTTGGACGCTAAGGGTTCAACCTTAGATGCAAATTGTTATCACAAGACTTAAAAAGACTAGCAAACGCAATAAATGCATTGAAAATTAGACAGAAGCTAAATTTAAGATTAGTTATAAGTTAAAACCTTACCATATCAAACAATTCTGGGTCTTCTTGGAAATAGTCCAGTGCTTCTTTACCTCTAAGAAAACGAAAGAAAAGAAGCTGATTTTGCGTCATCAAGTAACAAAGCCACAATTGCAACTACAAAATTAACTTAAAAACAGGATAAAGCTTAGCATAATATATGCTCCATTGTCATACACATAAACAGAAACCAAGAGCTAAGATTTCTCTCTTTCTCTCCCTTCCCCTTTAGCAAGCCAAATAAGTAACTAGAATTCAAACAAAAAGAGAAGTAAAAAGAGAGAGAGAGAGAAATACGTGCAAGTGTAGAGCTTTTCATTGATCATCCTAAAATGCCCTCCAGCCAACCTTGCTCTCATCTGCGCATTCAAATTAATCCCATCAAAATGGAATCCAACTTCACATACGTTTATATATACGAACACATATAGAAAAGGGACCTTGTCAAGAAAACTGGAGGAATTAGAAGAAGACGACTTGGGCGGCTTTGAAGAAGCAGAAGACCGATGGGCATGGCTTTTCTGTTGATGGGTTTCTTTCTTATGCTTTATTGAGTGTTTTGGTTGCAAAGATTCTTGGGGTTTCTGAGGTTTATTGTGTCTTGCCCGTTTCCTCTTTCTGCCTTGTCCTTCTTTCATGATGTCTGGTTGCCCCCTCTGCTTTCAACAGCTTCCAAAACCCTTTGCTCTGTTTCGTAAAAGATTTTGCAGAAGAATTGAGCTGGTTTGGGCCATTCCTGGACACTGGGTTTTTTAAGAAAGGTGAAGTTAGGTTGGTCTGGGTATGACTCTGGTCTGTTTTTGAAGCCCAAAGTTCACCAGCTAAAGGCCCATTAGTTCAAAAGTCTACAACCCATTAGAACTATTTTTTCATTTTTCTTTTGGTTTTTCTTATTCTTTTTTACCTTAATAACATAATGTATTAACAGTTATATAGGTAAATATATTTACATGATACGATTAATTAAACATATTAAAATTGTAAACATGTACAAGGATATGTTTATTAAATATGTAAAATGACAAAATATGCTTACCACGTTTTTTAAATTGATCAAATTAAATTTTTACAACGTCATATGATAAATTACCCATTTTAACAATCAACAAGATTAACGTGATCAAATTTTTAAATACAATTAACATGATTAAACTAAAATATTTTTAGTTAATAATATATTTCAATGTACATATAAATAAAATGTCACTTTATTATTCAAATTTAAAATTAATAGTTGCAAAATAATTAAAACAAAACAATAATATCCATCAATTATGTAAAAAATGCATCAACACCAACACAAGTATAATGAAATCTAACATCAATATCAATATAAGAGAACCATAATAAAATTCAAAGAATATCCACAATCCATCAGCATAATGAAACACCAAAAGTCAAGATTGGAGACTCATTTATCATTGCATAATTTAATAAACTAATATAATTATAAAAAGCATGCAGGTATATCAAACTTGTATTTTCATACATAATGGTAATTTTAAAAATTAATATCATATTCTTAGTAAAGTATTTATAAACCAAACATTACAATACTGTCTTTTTAGTATTTTAATCAATACTTTATCATGTATACTAAATGTTACAATATTATCTTTTTAATAATCATGTTCTTAATAATTACATTCCTAACAATCACTTTACAGCAATCCCATTATATTGTAAGATACCAAATGCCAATGGTAATTTTGAAAATTAATATAACATTTCTAGTAAAATATTTATAAACAAAACATTACATTATTATTTTCTCAGTATTTTAATCAATACTTTCTCATATACATCAAACGCCATAATATTATCTTCTTAACAATAACATTTTCAATAATTACATTTCTAACAATCACTTTATAATAATCTCATTACATTTTAAAATAATAAACACTACCGAAAGAACTGGTCAAGTTGGATGAAAGAGTAAGACCATGCAAACCCATTTTAAAATGGGTTCAATTTGAACTCTTTCTTTTCAAAACCCATCAGAAACTGTTTTACAACACTTCTTTTCAAAACTATTTTTTAATAAATTTTTCTTTTTATGATAAAGAAATAAATTATTTCATTGAAAACCAGGGAATTCATTAATAATTTTAAAGTAGATTAAAATATTAAATTAGAGATAAATATCATGAAGAATTAGAAATTCTTGCTTAGAAAAATAATCAACATTAAAATTGTGGACCAAGGTTCAAAACTTTACATTCATGACAGTTACAAGTAGATTGTTAAATCTAAAATCCAATTTTGTTTTGAAATACTTAACGTACGCGAAAAGGTAAAAAACTACAAAACTAATTATATGAAACTATAAATACATAAATGCTTAATCTAGAATTCATCCTTGTAACTCCCTCAAGCACTCCTTTTCTTGATCCTAACCTTTAAACCATTCTTCATATGAAGCACTACGGCATTGTCCGGGGCAACATGATGGCCTTGGACCATTTGAATTTGATAATTCCATAGCACAGAGATAGCGACCAACTTCATCTGAATGAAGCTTATGTTCACGTACCTATGCAACTCCTGGGCCCTGCGTTGAACGCTATGAATTTGTGAGATGGTACGTGTACAACATCCCACGCTCTGAAATCCACCTCTCTGGTTTGAATTCTAAACAGTCTTCACCCCATATTTCTTCCATTCTTCCCATTGTATAGAAGTTAATCAAGACCCTTGTGTTCCGATTCATGTGATGACCGCTTGGAAGGATGTCCGGTTGAATTGCAGTTTTGTGGTTAATAGGTACTGCTGGATAAAGCCTTAATGTCTCACATAAAACAGCATCAAGGTAAACGAATCTCTTTCAGCCCTTCCACACTAAAAAACATATTCTTCTCATCATTGATTGATGGAGAATTAGCTCTCATCTCTTGTAGAATCTTGCTTTCTACGGATGGATTCATTGCAACAAGCCAGAAAAACCAAGAAAGGCTCGCACTTATGGTATCTTTCCCTGCTGACATGATGTTGACTGCAACGTCTCGTAGGAACTTGTCAGATTTTCCATCAACACTAGTCATTTCCCCTTCATCTTGGACCATAAAAGCTTTACGAAGTCATATATATCTTCCTCAGCCAGTAATTTGCATCGTAATTTTTCTCGTTTTGATGCAATGCACTGATATAGAAAAGTATCAATGGTTTTTACAGCTTTGCTCAACTTTTTTCTCCTCCCCAATTTTGAAGCCATCTTTGCAACTTCCACAATCTCACAGGCATCAGATGCCTGTACAACAAACGCTCTTCTGCTTGAGTGAATGCCTTCATTATCGGAACTTCAGATAATTCTACCGAAAGAGAATTTGGATCAAAGCCTACTGCCAACATGCACACCATGTCGTAGCTGAAGCGTTGCAATACATCCTGAAGGTCAACCTCAATGCCAAGTTTCATGAAGTGCTCCAGCACTACGATTAAACTTTTCTCTATTTTTTCACGCAAGATTCTCTGGAAATGTAGCACAAACTTGTCGTCTTTCATCAACAGCAACATCACCTTCCGCTGGCTTTCATGAATCAGAGTTTGAGTTAAATATTCCTTCACCCAAACAATCGAAAAATATTCATTGAACTCAGACCCTTTCTCGTAGTTATCGAAGTTCTTGCACAAGATGTGGTTGGCATCCATAAGATCACCAGTGACAACGTAGTCCAAGCTCGGAAACCAAAATCCCTTGATCTCGCAAGTGCCCCCACTTTGTCTGACAAGATCGTCCACGAACTCAAAAAATCTCTTTGCGTTGTAGAGAAGCGCCGGTAACATTCCAAAAATAGGCCAAATGGTGATCGGCGGGGAGTTTCTATTTAGATAGCGGTGCAAAAGAAATAGAGGGAAGAAGATTGCTGCAAGTATGAGGATAGACTCAAATTGTGCCATTGGAGAGGAGCTTTCCTTTTGATCTTCTGCTTTAATTTCTTCATGGTATATAGTTTTCGAGCTAGGCTTTTATCCTGTAGAGCTGGTTGACAGGTTTAATGAGAGAAATACGTAAATCATTTTAATTACGACAAGCAATATCCCAAGTGGTAATATTGCATGACAATGGCTGACACTATGCATGTTGCCATGCATAGATTGCTTGTTGTGTCAAAACTAACAAAGCAATGCCATGAGAGGAATGTGAACTATTGGGTTGGTTTGATCAGCCAAAACAAAAGGATTTTTAATAGCTTAGATTTAGAATTTAATCTCTATATTATATGAAAATTGTCAGATTTAATATTTTTATAATAATTTGTATAAATTAAGTTCTTATATTCTGACAAAAAAATGATCAATTTCGGTCCAATAATTAACAATGTTAAGCTGAACATTAGCATTTCCTTGGACTGTGAACTCTATAGTTCTTTGAGAATAGAGATTCTAGCAAGCTGGGACTTAGACAAGTAGTTTTCTAATTTTAGACAACAAGTATAGCATGCAAGACCTTAGTGTGCACAATGTTGATGTATATAGACATCCCCGAATCTAGATTTTTAGTGGATGGAGGAATTATTATTATTATTTTTACATGCCAATCCTGTATTTAATAAGTCAATAAGTTAAGTTAAGTTTTTTTTTTTTTACATCTGATATTTGATTATTGATTGCTACATAATTTTCTTATTTAAAAAGCAAAATTCAATTTTACCATTTAATAGATTGACATTGCATTGGCTACTGTTAGCTATAGCATTTTTCAGATTTTTTTTCTTTACAAAAAAGTGATATGGATTTTAGGGTGTTATGTGGTATTTATTTTCTTTTACTTTTTTTTAGGAGAAAAAATCTCTTTTTATTAACAAAAGTAATTAAGGTTTTTTCACAAGAAATATTTAGAATTTGAAAATAAATAGAAAGTTTGAACTTATTATTTCAAGTTATTCGGATTCAAATTATTTTAAGTTAAAATTGTAAATGTTTTTAAAATCAAATAAAATTGAATTTGAATTGATTTTTCGAATTTGAATCATTTTGAATTAATTTTTTGAATTATTCAAAGTTAGATCATTCAAGTTGCTTTGGGTTTAGATCATTTCGGACTTTAGATTCTTTTTGAGCTCAAATTGGACTGATTTTATTTGTTTTTTCCAATCAAATCGGGTTAGAGGAAATTTAAATTCGAGCAGCTTTCTCAGTTTCTCGTTGGCCAAAGTACCTATTCTAGGAATACAGTTGAAAAGTACTCTAATTTATATAATTAGGCATAATATCTATAAAAATTCAAAAACTATTTGAAAAAAATTTGAATAAGTTATTTTTTTTATTTCATTCAATATTTTTATTTTTTTTATTTTAAATTAAATAAGTTTTTATATTTTTATTTTGAATCAAATAAGAACTTATAATTAATAGTTAATTTAGTCACAATATCGTTTATCCTTCAATATCATATTATGCTAATATAACATATTGATATATTATAATAGATAATGATATGACATAATGACATAATCATATAACATTCTTTATCTTCACATAAACGTCATGTGAGTATAAAATGATAAATAGTATTTTTATTAATTACAAGTAATCAATTATTAATTGTAATAATTTATTAGATTTAAAATAAAAATATAAAAATTTAATTGAATATAATAAAAATAAAAATTTATTTAAATTTTTTAAATAATTTAGAGATATTTTCAAATATTATACCATAAAATTACAAATAATTTTAGTTTGGGAGAAAAAGACGGGGCGAGTTTGATGAAAGAAGCAAGACCTTTCAAGCCTACCTTAAAATGGGTCGATTCCTAAATTCTTTATTCTAGAACCTAAAGCATTTTATAATAATTCTTTTTTGAAGCAATTTTGTTGGATAAATTTTTTTTTAATGTTAGGGTAATAATTTAATAAATTCTTTCTTTGGAAACACATTAATTTTAATAATTTTAAAACAAGTAGAAAAATAATTAACATTAAAATTGTGAACCAACTCAAACTTGGGTTTGAGTCCGAGTCATGTCAAGACTTAAGTCAAGCCTAAATATGATTTTTTAGGCTCGACGCAAGAGTAATATACTATTAATAAGAGTAAAATATCTTCAATTTTTAAATTTTAATTGAAATTATAAGAAAGTTTAATAATTTTTAAAATAAATATTTAATTTTAAATAAATAATTTTTGTTGAATAGTAAATTTAACAGTTAGTCAATTATTAATGTTTTCGTTAATTTAATAATATAATAAAAGTAAAAAAATAATTTTATTTTTAATTAATTTTTAAAATTTTTATTATATAATTTTATTAATTAATAAAAAACCCTCCATCTGAGAATTATATCGGGGCTCTCTAACAGAGTACCTGTTTGTAGTCAAATTCCCAATCGTGATGTAAGGTTGGATTGGAGAACCGAAAGTTGAAAGAACAGGTGGGCATCTTCCCTTAATTTCCTTTTGTTTTTTTAACTCTTCGCAAATTGCGTACAACAAAAGCGACTTATACCTAGCCTTAGCTAAGGGGCGCCAACCTAATATTTATCTATGTACTTCATTTAATTTTTAATTCTTTGCGTATTGTTTCATAATTCTCCCTCTTTTGCATGCATTTTTCATGCAGATAAGATCAGTCTCATCACCGAATTTTTTTAATTGAATTTAATTACGTTTTTATCAAATAAATATTTAATTAAATTGATATTTATTATTTTCAATCTCACATTATATTGATGTTACATGCTGATTAATTAAGAAAAAAAGTAAAACTATCACGTGATCATTTTAATTTATAAATTAATATCATTCTAATATCATTTTGATTAATAATAATTATTTAATTATTAATCATAAAACTTATTTGATTCAAATTAAAAATACAAAAATTTAATAAAAAATATTTAAATTATTTTAAATAATTTATGAATTTTTTTAAATATTATACTTTAAAAAAACTTATACATGACAACTTTTGTTTTTCATGATATGCTTTGATTAATCCTGAAAACTTTAATTGAAATAAATGTGAAAATTGAAATTTCTCAATAAAGAAATAAAAGAGATGTGTAATTATATTCTACCCACAATTTCTTCCTTAAGTGAAATCATATCATCAAAGAATCTTTTATGTGACTCGTAATGAAGAGTTGACTAGGTTGTCCATTAGATATTTTGAATTTGATAAATGTTTTTTTAAAAAATATAATTCAGATAAATCCATTGAAATTTGTAAAAAGAATATGAACCTTCCAAAAGTGAAATTTCAATTTATTTTTACTTTTAAAATTATATTTTTTTGAGAGGCCATGAAAAATAAGTAAAGGAAATTGGACATTTTCAATTGGGGTGTGAGTGAAATGGACTCAATTATTTTCTCATCACAGAATATTTTGAAAACTTGAAAAAAAAAAAAGACAAAAATTGATAGTTCAATAAATTAATAAGAACCGCTGATTTTAAAGTTTTCCTTTTTATAAAATAATATTCATTTAATTTTTGTGACATGCGCTATGTGTCAGCTTCAGTGGCTATGATCCTCTGCGGTAACCGGTCGTCATCTTCCTTTGTTGAGGACTTCTGATTGAATGACACGTTTGCAATAAAAGAAAATATCAGAACCTTCTATAATATCTTCCAATTTGGATTAATATTTATTGAATTTCAATAAATTAGAAGTATTTTAAGAACTTATGTTAAAATCAAGAAAGATCAACTATGTCTGGATCTAGTAAATGTCTTGGTAATGAGTCAAATTAAGTTACAAGCTCCATTTCTGGTGCTGCCCTTCAGTCCATACACTTCCTGCAATCCAAAAATTTTGATTTTTTGTAAAATTATTTATAGTTAATGTGTTCTTAAATTGGATTAAATGTTAGTATTAAAAATATTTTTCTTTTACTAATCTAAAGGATTTGATCAGTTTATAGACACAGAATTATGAAAATGTACTTAGCTTTTTAGCTCATCTGAGAGGCGCTTGACAGTTGACGTGGGAAAAGTGTAAGAGTGTAGCAAGAAAATCTAGGACAAAACACAGAAGATCAATGGTACACTGAAAGAGACAGAGACAGACGGAGAGAGAGACAGAGGGGAGCAGAGCATCCAATGACAAAAGGCATTAGAACAGTTGTTTGGTGGTTTTTCTTTGGATATCCTTCACTTCGCAAAAGGTCCCATCTCGTTCTCTCTTTCTGCCTCTCACTCTTTTACACATATAAATGTAATATTGCAATGTAATGCCTTCCATATGCAATATCTTGCTTGCCTATATCATAGACTTTTCACGAACTCGGAGTTGGTGAAAGTTGTCGTTCTTCATACTCGAAACCGATAATACTAACAAAATCTTCCATCTTTTTTCTATTCATTATATTGCTATATCCTCAGTAATTGTAAACGTAAGCTCACTGTATTGCTCACCTTTCTTTTTTTTTTTTTTATGTGTTTTTCAATGTGGGTTTGTCATGTTAGCTTGATATGTTCATTCAAATATGAATCTTGATGTGAAAATTTCATGCTTTTCTTGCATGTTTGTATGTTTGTTTTACTGGGTTTTTTCGTTTTTTTTGTTGAAAAAAGTTTTTTGGGTTGGCTTTCTTTGTATGGTGTAGCTGGAGTGGAGGAAGGGGAAAGTGAATCCATTTGTGAGTAGCATAAAGGCCAGGTTAAGGCCAAAAGCGATGCCACCGAATATAGTTCGTGATGCTGATGGATTGCCCAGAATCATACTCACTGAGCCAACTGGTTCATCTGCTGAGGTTAGTTTATGCCTTCTTCTTCTTCTTCTTCTTCTTCTTCTTCTTCTTCTTCCTGTATTTTTAGCTCTTTTTTTTTTATTTTAATTTTGTTGGTCTGTATCTTGTATGTGAGTGCAGTTTGTGTTGTTTGAAATTAAAGAAGCATAATCCTGGCTGGATTGATAGTAGGAGAAATGATTGTCTATGATAGTCTATTAGTGTGAAATTATCAGAACAATTATTTCAACAAGAAAGATGGATAAATTTGTCGTGAAAAAGAAAAAGTCCTTTCAACCCTGAAGCAGCAGAGGGAAAGGTGGAGATTGGTCTTTTTATGGTGAATACAGTGATGAAAAATAGGGGAGATGAGGGCAGTTAAAGTGGTTGGGATATTCGGAGGCATGGTTCAGTACATTTCGTACAGTTATCAATTATCATCATTTTAACTTTGAGAATTTTAATGATGATGTCTTGTTTTTGGGCTGATGTATCAGGACCGGTCCTCCCTATTGCAAATTTTTATATAATTAAAAGGGCTAAATTTCATCTGACTGGCAATATTGGGTTGCCGATATAATTCTTAATCTTGAATGATGGAATAAGTTAGCTTGCTTGTTGATAACATTTTGAAAGATGCATACGCTTTATCATATGTTAACGATCTTTCTCCCTGTCCTTTTCTACTGGTTATTTCTACCAGATTAGTACATAAAGGGTGCCTCAAATTGACATAAAAGAGTTTCAGGTGCTACTGTATGGTGGGCAAGTTGTTTCTTGGAAGAATGAACGAAGGGAAGAACTGCTTTTTATGAGCAGCAAGGTAAAGCAATTCTTCTTTATACTATGACTTCTTGATGTTCAATGCCAATAAAGTCTTTTCCTTTACATATCTTCCTTCCCGTGTTCTTTAGGCAAGTTGGAAGCCGCCTAAGGCCATCAGGGGAGGTATACCAGTCTGCTTTCCACAGGTTAGTCCTATGTCCTATGGAGTCTGTAAGGACCTTAGGCTGGAGACTTTGTCGGGGTCATGTGTTCTAAACTGATCACTGCCTATTACAGTTTGGAAATCTTGGTTCACTGGAGCAACATGGATTTGCCAGGAACAGAATGTGGTTACTGGACAGTGACCCTTCACCTTTGCCTCCAGCTAACAACCAGTCATCAGTGGATCTAGTATTGAAGTCTACAGAAGAGGATCTAAAGATCTGGTCACGCAGGTATGCTTGTGAATACTGTATTCTTTTTACTCTGAGACTAAACGTTGAAAATACAGCTTCATGTGTGCACTTATGAATTTCTGCCCTGTAATTTTGCAGCTTCGAATTGCGTCTTCGTGTAACTCTCAGTGCTGGAAAGCTAACTTTGATCCCTCGTGTGAGGAATACAGACCACAAGGCCTTCTCTTTCATGTTTGCACTCTGCAACTACCTATCTGTATCAGACATCAGGTGTGGCCATGAATTCAGGAGCTATTTCTTTTTCATGCAATAATGGCCGGAAGCTTTTTACTGTTGAAATGCCCTAATCAATTTAAATTTGAACATGAACTGTTCACTGACATATCAGGATAGTTTTCTCATTTTCTGCTTTATTTTACTTTGGGTATTACTCATTTATAATTGATGAAGGAAAGAGTGTCACATGAGATTCAAAACCTCTCATAAATTTGCAGTGAAGTGCGTGTGGAGGGCTTGGAGACGCTTGATTACTTTGACAATTGGATTAACAGAGAAAGGTTCACAGAACAAGCAGATGCAATTACTTTTGATGGCGAGGTATTTGTTCTTCTCTCTTTTTGTTTTTTGTTTTTAGTTTTTCATTTACTCTTGTGTGTGAACTTGCAATAGAGAGGTATCACCAGTTTTAGGTGCTAGTAAAGATGAATTTAGGAGGTGCTGATCAAATTTCTTCTGTCATTATATCATGTGTATTGGAACATCTCCACTCCCTCATATACTTTCTTTTTAAAATAAAAAATGAAAAGTAAAAATTGCATGTGTAAGGCCCAAAGCCATATCTGAAGAATATATATTTGGTCTGCTTCAGTTTGAAAGGGTATATTTGAGCACCCCAACAAAGATTGCCATCATAGACCATGAGAAGAAGAGAACATTCGAATTGTGGAAGGATGGGATGCCAGATGCAGGTTCTTTTCTATGCCTTAAAATTTCTTAAATTACTTTCCTGCCATGATCCTTCTTATTAATGGATTCTCTCTAATAAATCTGAAATCACTTTGTGTGTAGTTGTATGGAATCCATGGGACAAAAAGGCTAAAGCTCTCCCGGATTTAGGGGATGAGGATTACCAATCCATGTTGTGTGTAGATTCTGCTGCTATTGAAACTCCAATCATCTTGAAACCATTTGAAGAATGGAAGGGCCGGCAAGAGATCTCCACAGTGTCCTCGAGTTATTGCAGTGGACAGTTGGATCCTCGAAGGGTTCTTTATGGTTTTCACTGACCTCAGATTTGGAGTAAATGGAGGTTTTCTCATAATTCAAATAGTTAAGTCTTATTTGCTGTATAATATATGTGCACTTGTTTGTGTATTATCCTTTTGTTGCCTAGAATCCTAAAGAATGACTAATCCAGCTGAACGAAATAGTTGACAATATAGCAGTGGTCACGTTGTCAGAGAGGAATATATATCTTTTTATGTTGCCTGTTTGTAAAAGGTAGAACCGATATCTCTAGGAGCTATTGTTGAAAGATATGAGTTCCAAAATTCGATGATGCAATAGCAATTAAGTAGAATTGAAACCTTGAATTATGTCTTTAATTGCATGATGAAGTTCTGCGGAAAGATTTGGTGGAATTGGAGCTTAAATGGCATAAAACTTGATTTTTCTTTTCTCTCTTTTTATAATATTAGGCCCTAAGGAGCTGCATTTGCATTATCATCATTCTTATTAAGCAACTGCTCAGCCACAATGAAAGACTTGAACCTTATGCCTTAAATCTAGAATCTAGAAGAGAGAAAGCAGGGACATCCCAAATTTCTCTTTGGCACCCTCGTCAAGGGCATCATCTTCCAGATATATGTTGATATAGGCCCTGCAGAGAAGTTCGCTCTTAACCTTGCTCACCACCTCACCTATTACTGCACCCATTGGAAACAACTTATGTTACATTTCTGTATCTAACTGTACCTTTAAGATATCAGAATATACTAACTCATCTCTATAGCAGTCACCCTCTGTCTGGAGAACATATCCTGGAAGCCGACAATTTTCAATAAGAGAACCAGGTGTTAGCTTGATGTCATCTGACGCTTGACCCATGAACCTGTTATCAATAAAAACATAAGTAATCCAGCTTGAAGTCAGTTCTTCTCATAACTAAATACAAATATCAGCAGGGAATATCATGTTGACTACTTGTTTGCTAGCTCGTCATTCTTCTTCCCCCCCAGTCAGTTTCTTTATGGATGCTCCAAGACCTTCATCAAAGTTCTTTCTTACCATGCCCATGGTGAGGCATGAAAATACAATCACCAACCTTACCATCATCTCTACATCACTGTCAATTGCCACCTGATGCAGCTCCTTTGTTGGTTTTTCTGGGGCTTTGCCGATCTTTGACTTCAAAAGATCTGTCGGTTTCTCATTATCTGCATACATCCCTGTAAATTGAAGAAATGGCATGGCTTGCTATGCTGCATTCAAGCTCGATTGTAGTGACATGTAAGAGACACAACCGGGTCATGACAAATTCTTGATTCACCATGGTGACTCTGATAAATATGCTGAATGCAGAAGGTTGGGCACATTTCCACCTTAATTCTAGGAGTTAAATGACTGTTTAATTGATTCAGTTAGATCATTGATTACACTGTTGAATACCACTTGATTGTCCCAAGGATCATGCAACAGATGCACTGCCAGCAAGTATAGGAATGCCACATCTTTCTAGTATATTATTATGCTGCATTTAGACTAGTATATGAAGTGAATGTTTTTATATGAGACATGAAGTAAAAAACTCAGGTAAAATGAGTATCTCGACTTTGCAGAAGTTTACCAAAGCCATAAATCTTTATGCCCAGGCCAAGCATGGATTTCTTCCTCAGACCAAAACAATTCAACTGCTGCCCATCATCCAGTTTAACTGGAAACGAAACCCCAGTCTTGGGTTCCATTTCAACTGCCACCTCCTCTTTCTTGGCCTCATCCTCTGGCACCTCACCGCCTGCTTCCTTCTCGTGAACTTTCCTACTGCTTTTGTCTTCAGCACCCTTCATTCCATTCTCAGAGTTAACAGTCTCTTTTGCCATCTCCTCCTCAGCGGCAGTGGTTGCCATTCTTCTACTCTGAAAACTTAACACGAGACCAAAAACTGGAAAGAAGTTTGTGTTGGTTGGCAAAGTTTGGAGAGAAGACAAGGCTTTACATAGATCGGAGAAGTAAAGGAAAGATAAGAAAACATTTGATTGGCAGGTCTACCTTGGTATCAGCATCAGATAAGGGGCAGTTAAATGTTCAAATCAGTTATGTTGGCTCATTAATGTTTTAGTTATTATTCCATTTCTTTATTTGTAAAAAGGAATCGCACATATCAAGGGGCACACTCTTGGTGCGAACCCTGAGTTAGTCTGAAAACTTGTAAAGAAGTTGTTCTGATGTTTCAATTCACATTACCAGCCATTTATCTACTTTGAAGTGCTCAATCTTTTCACAGTGAACTTAAACCAGATGGCAAGTTTTACAACTTCATTTATAAAATCTGAAAATCTATCAAGAGCTCCTTAAATTTTACCAGGCAATTGAGGAGAAAAAACCCTTTGAATATTGTCACCTAAGTACTTCCAAAATCTCAACATATCCCATTATTACCATTTGAAATGATTGAGGAATACGAGCAAAATACGAAATTAAGCAAGTTTGGATTTAGAATAATCATAATTTTATGTATTGATCGTGTCGATATGTTTAAAACACGATAATTTCATGTCTTAAATATGTCAAATTTGTTTAACCTGCTTAACTTATTTAGTTAATCATTTTACGGTGTCGACTTGTATAACCCATTTAGTTAAATTATGCTATTGTGTCTATTTTTTGTAAACAATTTACTTGTTCGCGACCCAAATAAATAATTTATATAAGTTTTATGTAATTTTGTTAATATATTGTTATGAATATATGTGTAAATATTTATTATATTATGACACAAGAAGTTCAGATTAAGTCAAATAGCGTAACCGGCCAAACATAATAAGTGTAATATGATTTGAACTCTTAGATTTGATTATATATATCTTGATTTGAATATAGATTGAATTGGATTAAGATTAGAATTTAAAGAGTATAAATAAGCCCCATTACTTCATTTATAAATGCACATTTGAATAAGATCTTTTTTACTTTATTAATGCTATTCTCTTATAGTTAGTATTTCAATTTATATTTTATAACATGTTATCAGCACGATTCTCTAATTTATCAAGTTTCGGTATTATCTAGTTTTTATCATCTTTTGGCTTCAAAAGGATTTCAATGGTTGATATTTGATTTTTTGTTTGATTGAATGAAGTAAGAAACTCAATATCTCTTTGGTGTTTTCATTCCTTGAAAATCAACTTTAATGTGAATTTTGCTATCATATAGTATGTATAATCTATTGTACCTTAATTTATTAAATCAAGTTGAACATGAATACATATAAATAATTATATATGATATCTTTCTTCTAGTTTTAGAATATAATTTGCTCGATATATGATTTATTTGTTGAATTTCGACATTTTTGAATTGAACATATGAAATTAACTTTATATGTTATCTATTTTATAACAAGTGAAAAATATTTTACATTGGGTAATTTAAAAATACATTTTGTTTTGGATTTCATATTTTTTTGTGGTTGAGCAAAATAATGAGCTATTATTAAAAATGTGATATTATTTAATAATTATGTTTATGGACATTGTGAGGATAATAATTACAATTGTGATGGTATACTAATTACTATTCTAATAATAAAAATACTATTCAAAGTGGATGGATACATTTAATCACTGGAATACATTTAGCCATTAGAAGTGGATTGATACATTTAACCAGTGGAAGTAGATGAATATATTTAATTACCGGAAGTCAATGGATACATTTAATTGTCAGAAGTAGATGAATAGTAAAAAGATACAAGAAAAAGATAAAAATAGATAAAATAAAAAGAATATAGAAAATATCTATTATCGATGTGGTATGAAAGGTCATTGGTTACATACACCGAAATATCATGTTGAACTTTACCAATTATCATTGAAAGCTAAAAAGAAAAAATATATATCAAAATAAATTTTATTTAAAATGATTTTAACCATTACTAAATTGATATAACACACCTGAATGTTGCTAACTTTCTTGTCCACCCTCAAAGAGGAATTGATCATCTAATTAATGATAAAAATATCTAAAAATAAAATTTTTTAATAGTTTGTTGGTATATTTTTGTATAACTTTATTATAAAGATGTTTTATATGTTATCATTATATTTAAATGATATATTCTTATTATGTGTTTTAATAATAAATTTTATATTTAATATTCTCCTATTTTAACTTGCAAGTTTCTTACTATATATTTTATTTTAAAATATGAATATTTATCTAATTGGATCTAAGATCGATGATGCAAATATATGTTTAGTAGACATTGCTAAAATGCACATTATATTTAAAGATAAGAAATATTTTTTCCATTTGACAATAGAAGAGGTCAATGTCAATACAATATTGGATAGTATAAGATTAATTGAAGGCTCTAGAAGAGCCAATATTTGACTACCCAGATAAACAAAGTTCATAATAGAGGAAACAATATTTTCTACCAAGTCTCAAAGAAATTTATTAAGTTTTAAAGATATTCGTCTAAGTGGATATTATATATAGATAACGAATGAAAGAGGTACTGATTACCTTTATATTACATCTTTTATATTGGGTAAAAATTGTGTATTAAAAAAATTACCTATTGTGTCCTCTGAAATATACTACACAAAAATTAAAATAATTGAAACTTATGTTATAGTAAACTAGTAGTTTACTAATAGTTTTAATACTTGACATAATTGCATAAGTTATCCCGGATTAATAATGATGCAAAAAATTATTGAAAATTCATTTGATCATCCATTGAAAAATCAAAAGATTTTTCAATCTAATGAATTCTCATGTGCTGTTTGTTCTCAAAGCAAATTAATTGTAAGACTATTACCAATTAAAGTCAAGACTGAATCTCTTACATTTTTGGAATGTATTCAAGGTGATATATGTAGACCCATACATTGACCATGTGGATCATTTAAATATTTTATGATTTTAATCGACGTATCAACAAGATGGTCACATGCGAGCTTATTATCAACTTGTAATTTAGTATTTGCAAGATTACTTACACATATCATTTGTTTGTGAGCACATTTTTCTAATTATGCAATCAAAATAATTCGTCTTTACAATGTTGGTGAATTTGTATCGTAACTTTTTAATGAATATTGCATCTCAGTTGGAATAACTGTTGACCAACCTGTTGCTCATGTTCATACACAAACGATCTAGCTGAATCGTTTATTAAACGCCTTAAACTTATTGCAAGATCATTACTTATGAAATCTAATCTCCCAAGTTCTATTTAGAGACATGCCATTTTGCATGCA